ATAATTATAAGAATAACAAAAAATTATAAAACCTTAATTAAATTCATAGCTATGATTGTGAAATACAATACATTCCAGATTATTAAATCGTTTTATAGTCATCAAAGCAGTTGTCTCTGTATTGTTTATATATTTTTCATTTAACTCTGCTATAAGACAACTATTGACTACAAAGTGATTGTATGTAATGTATTTCACAGTCATAGCTATGAATTTGGTTTTATAATTTTTTATTCTTATAATTATTTTATATGTTTTTATGTTTTATTATTATTAGAATGAGAATTAGTTAATTCTCTTTGAATTTTATTATTTTAACATTGAGAATGACCCGATCGAGGTCGAAACGTATGTTCTAATAAACTGTCTTTTTTAATAATATAGCGTCTTACTTGACTAGTAGCCCTATTTTCATTATTTTAATTTTATAAAGTATTTGAGTTTTTTCTTATATTATTTTAAAATTTTTATATTTTTGAAAAAAAAATAGTAAAGATAAGAAAACAGAATAACTATTTCAAAATTCAAACTTATTTTTTCTAAAGAACAGGAGGTAAAATTAATGCATAAAATATTATTACTTTATATTAAATAATTAAGTTAATTAAAGTTCTTTATAATTATATTATAAAGAATTATATATTATAAAGAATATATTATAAAGAATTTTCATTTGCTTATTAAAAACTATTATTTTATTATTTGTTCATATGTTCGACGTCTTGGGAAAAATTTCATACTATTTCTCTCTTCTTTCTACTTTAATCATTAGTTACTTAAAAATATCTCTATTAGTAGAGATATTAACTTCAAGGCAAATCTGAAATCTGTTATTAATTCGTTATTAACGCGATAATACTACTCATTCAATATAAAGTAACGCAACGAAACGCAACGAAACGCAAGCAGCGTAAGTAAGAATCTGAGTAATACACATATTAATATTGATGCAGTGCAATCTGCGTAAAGTAACAATAAAGATAATTAATAAGAGAATTTGCCTATCTGGGGTTACATTAATACTCGTATCCCTAAATCATGGTAAATCTGCAGGTTTTTAACAATATGTGTAGTAAGTTTGTGACATGATTACGAAGGGCAGTACACAGTTGATCGCGTACACAGTTAATTAAAGTAATATAAGGTACTACATTAATCTTGCTCAGTACGCCACAATATTGTTAAACAGGATATTAATACAGATAATAAGACGCCAATATAATTTATTATGTGACGCACGTGCTGGACGATACATTCTCTTGTTGCATTTTGTAATGGTAACCTTGATAAATCAATTACATATCGCCCAATAACGTCATTTGGTAATAATTCTGAAATTTATAATCTGTATTATGAGATTAGATAGACATAAATATGTGACATTTATGTAAATCTAATTTATTATGTCTATTATGTCTAATCTACTACTATGTCTAGTAATTATAAATATTTTGTACTCGATTTAATAGACTTTATTTTCACTTGTTTAATGACTGTTTTATACAATAGAACATTACATATCAATTTTCTTGTTTTTTTCAAAAAATAGAAATTAATTTGTTACGTAAAAATTTTAATTTACAATTATAGATCTATGATATTTATATAAAACATAACTAACTTTCTTAATATAAAACTTATTATTAGTTATTAGTATATCTTATATTTGGTTAATTATATTTATTTTACTATTGATGTAATTTTCTTTCTGTTTAAATAAATGTGTATGCAAAAAATATTCACCAAATCAAAAAGAAAGAATTGTTCGTTAAAATTTTATTTTATTACAAATTTTTATTAAACATTGTCTTTAAGTATGAATATTGTTAAGAAGGTAATTTAATCTTTATTGTTAGTAAAGCAGTTTCACAGCCACTGAAAATATATAATATATATAGATCGTGTTACATATGTATATACTACATATTTTTAGTATTGGCTGTGAAATGTAGCCTAATAACTGTAATAAAGTACAAAATATATTTCAATATTTAAATTTCTGTTTAAATAAATCTAATCTAAAATAATATTTAATAAAAATAATACGACCTATTGAATGATTATATAAAGATAATAGGGAACATCATTATTACCGAAAAAAGTAATAATAATGGTAGCGGCGTTACAACTAATTGCTTGCCAACTCTGATGATAATTATTTATAATAACATGGTTATTGTCACAAATATCAAAAATTTTTTCCTCAGTATAAAAAAAATAATTGCAAATAATAGGCAAGTTTCATGGAATATAAAATTAAAAAATATTGCACGCGATATATATACACAGTTTTATTCATACAATTTTTGATTGCAGATCGCACTTTGGGCTTTCATTGTGATGGCATTTCTCTATAATTGGATGTTCGTGTCTTCTTCGATATTGACACCACTCCAGGATGATAGTAGCTTGAGAATCTTCAAGGAATCGCCGAATGAATTTGAATATGTGATAAAAAGACATGGCATCAATGAGCTTAAAGAAAATACCGAAACCAAAGAGAGACGCAGCACTATGGGTTCTTCCTTCATTAGATTCGGACGCAGTCAGCCTACCTTCAACCTCGCCGATAATTCCGTCTTCGACGAAGAAACTAATTCGATGGTCAGCAGGCATCCCCGATGGAAGTCGCCGGATATCGTGATCAGATTCGGTCGATCTAACTTCAAGGCTGTCAACGATGGAGAACTCAAACGCGGGCGAAATGATCTCAATTTTATCAGGTAACCATCTTGTCGCATTTTTGACCTCCTAATATCAAAATGTAAGGAAGAGTTGCCTGGATGGATATAGTAAATAAATAAATTACATCTCATAAATTTTGTTTATTACTGAAAATATAAACGATGAGTATATAAAGGAAAGTCAATACTGACATATCACTTCATTTTTGGGTAATATTTCTAATAAAAGCTAAATAAAAGCTAAAAATAAAACTTTAAGAACATAAACGCAAACATAAAAAAAGTGTCTTTTATTAAATAACGTACCAGTTTTTTATAATTCAATCATTTATTCGATGGCGCAACATTCTATAGTCAGGATAGAATCTATCTCTTATGCCCGTGGTACGCAGGTTGTACACAGACATACAGGATTTAATCAATTTAACGCCAGTTCCGAACAGCAATTTGAGATGTTTTCTTGACAATATATACTCTTGGTAGTTTGCCAGATCACCGAAAAGAAACTACGAACGCGTGAAAATTTCTTAAATCTGTCGAGGATCGAATCCCTATAGCAAAAAAGTCACAGTTACAATTATGGTTACATCATGGTGACGTACGAATGTCCACTTTTATTATAAATATGATATCACAGCAATGTCATGGTGATGTGCGAATGTTTTTGTAACATATGTATTATTTTATTATGACAAACTCACAGTAACATCATATTTTCTTTCTGACTATTGTGACTCTATTGTGACCCTTTGCTATGGGGAATCCCTAGCATGGTAAACGCGCGCGGTCCAATCTGTTCTTATGCTACGCTCGTGCTCAGTTTTCTATAATATTGTTTGCAATTTCAATAACTAATTTTTTCGTAAAATAAGCAAAAATAAACATCTGAGAAAATGGGTCCCAAAATTGACACAATAATGTCATATATTTCTATCCTTTTTCTTTCACGGAAGTTAACTGTACAAAATAATTACAAGCGAATGTATAAGATATTTTAGATTTTTTTTTATTTAGATATAAAACGTTTTTTGTTGATTTATATACATATTTTGATCTAAGAGAGATCTAAGAGAGATAGAAAGAGCAAGAAATAAACATGTAACGTGATAATTTCTTTTTTTGAGAGTTTTCTGATAAATACATGATTACCATAAGTTTCGATAAGACTGTTTCACACTATAACGTAACACTATATAAATATTAAATCATGAAAAAAAGAAAATCGTAAAAATTTTATCTTTGCATTTATAGAATTTGTTTTTAATTAATTTTATATAGAAACAAATATATAAACTATGAGTTTTTACTTCTTTAATTATCTAGACAGAGTTATGTTTTTATCAGTATTAGGGAGTTAAGTCCATTATGGAGATCCAAAAAATTATGTGTAATTTTATGAATTTTTTAAAGCGATATTATAGAAGAAATAAAAAACCTATTTTCAGTTTTTAATTTTATACATGTTAAATAAAATAAAAAATTTTTCTACATATTGAAACAAAATGGCAGCGCTGAAGCCTTTCTACGCTTGCTATTCCAAAGTTCTGTTTAGCAGTTAGCAATAAAATTGTCGTACGCTTCTGCAACTTACACATCAGTTAGTCGGATTATCTATCTGCCTATGGGCAGATACTTTATTGATAATGCAGAATAAGATTAGATCGCAAGAGAGAGAGTCCGATGGGAAATGAGACAAGAGAAATTGAATTTTACATTCTAGTGTAAAATTCAATAATATGTATAAAATATGTATTTAATAATACAAATTATAATATATATTTATTATTATATTTTTAAATATTTATTAAATTTAATTTATGTTAGATGTAGTCAGATATTATTTATATTATTAAATCCATATTTATATTATTAAATCCATATTTTATATCATATTATTGAATTTTATTACCAGAATGTAAATTCAATTTCTCTTGTCTCATTCCTCACTGGATTTGCGATCTAATCTTCTACGTTTCCAGTAAAGTATGCCCCTGCCTATAGACAGATAGGCAACCCAACTTACTGATGTGAGTTGCGGAAACACACTTTGTACACTCTGTACACTTTGACCTAGAATAAAAAATTAATCTTTTTCATGATCTGAGAGAAAAACTTTAGGTATTTGTAATTACATATTACTATATAATTGTAAATATTATTGTTATAATATTAACAATAATAACTACATGTAGTTCTAGCAACAAATGTATATAGTTGACAATCTAAAATGATTACAATCATAGTTTTTATAACAATAAAAATGATTGAAATTACTATAACTTTACAGTCATTTTTTAGGACAACTAATTAATATTAAATATTAATATATAGAGTTATAGTAATTTGATAAAAATAATTCTGATAAAAAAATCTCGATAGACACGATCCCCAATAATGAATAATTGTTTGATCTCTACGAAGTGCCATTTTTCAAAACTGGCTAATATCACAATATTTCACAACAAATACGATGCATTTTTATATCATTATTTGCATTTTCTGGGTACATATCTAAATAAAAAGTTATAAATGCACAAAATAGAAAACGCTCATTAATTGCAAAGCAATAGTATAGACTAAATAATCAAATACGAGCAAATTTAGATGTTTAAAATAGCATTTTTAATAACCTAATAAAATCGTATATATAATCGTATATGTTTCGACTTATAGAGCCTTCTGCAATTTAACAATACGCAAAATAATAGATAAATTAATTTCATCAAACCTCATCATATTATATCTACAAATGTAATAGTAAATTATATTCTTTAACATTAATAAAAACTGATTATTTCTTAAACTTCTTTCATTAATAACTTTTTAACAAGTCATGAGTGACGACTAAGTCACTCTTCAGTCAGTTCAGACTAAGTCACTGTTCGAAAACACAGGATTATGACTTTGACAATATATATCAAGGTCAAAGTCATCAGGTCTAGCTACCTCCATCGATAATTTTACCCATGCAAAAGTCAATAAGAATTTAGAATGATTAAATAAATTTTGCTTGAAATAGGTTTGGTCGTAGTGTACAAGTCATGCCGGCTTCTCTCGATTTATCTGCGGTGTGTTCGGAGCTTATGTCAAACATCGTGATCAGCGACACGAAATTACATCCGGATGTGTCGAGGTTTCTCCGTCTTTGCAACGGCCTGAACAAGATAACCGAAATCAGTTTGGACACTTCAGAGCATCAGGATAGCCCGAGTCGTCACGAGTAGATGAGCCTGCTTGCTGTTATCCGAGCTCGTCCGAGATCCGAGATCGTCCCATGCGGATTCGTCCTGTGGATTCGATGTCGAATGTCAACGAGGATTCGTAGCGTTCCAGTTTGTCGAATCAATTTGACCGCTATGACCGAATTGCATTTGGCTTTGAGATGACGACCGGATCGCGTTACTATCAGCGCGGATTTATACTTAAATGGATCTCTCGCACGTCGATTTGTCAAACAATTTGAAAATGATTACTCGATTGTTGCAATACTGCGAAGAAACAATAAGATCTATTTGAATAAGATTTTCTTCTATTCCTTATTCCTTTGTTAACTCGCAGTGTCACAAATGTCATGAGTCACGAAATGCTAATCTATATCAAATTTTTTTAATATATGAACTCGTTGCCTTTCTTGGAAATAAAAATCAAAACATGCAAATTATATTTTTTTTAATTTTTCATATAATTACCATACTTGTTGTTCTAATATATTTATAAGTGATTATTATCTACCTTCCTTATACATATAAAGTTGCAAATTTTTAGTTAAACATAACACATTTTAAGCCCAATTTACATACGCAAAACAAAGATATCAGATCACAAACTAGAAACTAACCTAACGTATTTAAATTATAATAGTTTACAGAACGTAGGTTGCAGGAAGTTGGGTGAACTTCAATTTTTGGATCCTGCATCTTGCGATCTATTATAATCTGAAATACGTTTCACTTGCGACTTGCAATCTGCGTTTTGCGTATTATGTAGATCTGGCTTTATGTGTCCTAAATGATTCAGATTTTTGTATTAATTTAATACAAGATGAATATATTAGGAAGTGACACAAATATTATGTAAAAAATGTAACGCTGATACATTTGTAAGCAAATTAAAAAGATATTTCTTCAGAAAAAATAATATTTGTTATATTAAATTAGCACACTTAAATAAATTTAATATTTATAATATGTTAAATTAACACATTTTATTTATTTATCTTAGAAATTATGTTTAGAATACATTATTTGTATATTATTTATTTGTTTATTTATTTATTTATTTGTTAATATGATATAAATTGTAAATTTTATTATTTTAACATTAAAAATATTGAATATCAATTTAACAAAATATTTAAATAACACATTGTGTTAAATTAACACTCGAATAGTTTAAAAATTTAGCACAAAATGTAAAAAAATATCAATTTTAACACAAATATAAAATGTTTTTTATTATGTACTTGTCTAGATTTTATGTATTATATAATTATTTCTATTATTAGTTCCATGAAAATATTTTTCAACAGCGAGAAGTGATGCTCAATTATTCATTTTAATTTCTATTGTTTTTCTTGCAAATGCATTAAAGGATTAAATGAATTTCTTGTGTATTTTGTTATATTATCCTTCCTATCTCCTAATTAAATATATACAGTTTTATTTTTTCTAAAAAAAGAACTTCTATTTCTCTAAATTTTATTAAGTGCTAAATATATATCAATTAACGCACCTACAAGCTGATAACAAATGCCGAATCGTAAATCGGATACTGTACTGTATGTACATCCGGCCACTTGCTTTCTTATTAATTTAATGTTAACACACAAATCTGATGATTTATCATCCCGAAAATGTCAATGATTACATTCAGCAGAACGTTTATTTTACAACTGTTGAAAATTTTCTTCGCGCTAATTAAATTGTATTTTAAGAGCTAAAGAAATGCGGTCCCATCTTAGCAAATAATCATAAAACGATTGCAAAACTGTTGCGTTCTGCTAAACACATCTAATGTAACCGTAAATTCATATTCAAATTGTGCGCTTTTTTGTCATTTCCGCAGCAACGAATTTAGTTGGATGTATTAATAATACACAGAATGCTAGAAGTCATCGTATCTAAATGTACAGCATCAAAATGTTGCTATTTGAATATCTAAGAATTTAAACATATGTCGAAAATAGTGAATTGCCAATTTTTAGACCTTTTGATGGCAAAATGTTAATAAATAATGTGTTGCATACAATTGACTCATTTTATCCAAGCTATCTTTCAGCTATCTTCATTTGATTTTTCTATTTCACAACTTTTTACTGTCCTTCTTATTAATTGTCTTCAACTAATTGAAGATTCGTCAAAGAAGTTCGTTGCAAAGGTTATTAAAGAATTTTTCTAGTTTATCCAAAAACTCAAAAAGAGAAAAAAATTTTGTTAAATGTACTGAATAGGGGATCCTATTTAGTCGATAATATAGACGATCTTAAGCATTATTAAAGAGTTATTTATATCACTACACTTTTTGTCAATTTATATGTGACTGTCTTATGTAATTTTATGTGTACGTTCAACCAAATTTACATTGTAAGTTTCGCATGTTGCATAAATAATATGACGGATTGTTAAATTCAGCTCAGGCTTGGGTGTAAGTATTCCCACATAGCACAATATTACAGTAACATTGCAATATATAAAAAATATTACAGTATAATATTACAGTATAATATCACAAAAATATTACTTATATTACACGTAAATAACATCAAAATATCACAGTGCATGACTAGTTTAAAATATATATTCGCACATATGCACATTTATACGCGCGCGTGAATCGAGAGAGAAAGAGAGACAGAGAAAAAGAAATGCAGACTTCTTGCCCTTTCTCTTTCTTTATTTTTCTTTATCTTTTGTATTTTTTTTATATGATATAGATATCTTATATAGACATCTTAATTCGCAAGTATACATTTTTATGTTGCAATACGTCAAACATATTTTTTATATCGCGACATAGAAAAAAATTTCGTTATAATATATTGCATGTATTTCTCGTAATTAGTCTTGTCTTTCTTTGTTATATTTATTTCTTAAATTATTATAAATGCATCGCACTAAACACAGTAATAAAGCCATATCATCAAAGGAGGTGGGAATAAATAATCAATCATACAAGTGACGGAAAATATGAAGAAGAATGAGCTAAAACGCGTTGGTGGCATACAAACTTGGGATTTAATCTCTATTCGCTGTCACAAAACTCTCGCGAACCATTATTTGGGGAATTAGACAAGAGAAACACGTACTCGCTCGCTATCCGCATATATCCTATGATAACGCCATACAATACTAGACAATGCGGTAAGGCTCTGTGTGAGTCCGGCTGAGTTCTTTTCTTTCAGTACACGACGTCTCGCCCTCGTACTTAATCCGCGCCCTGAAAATTGATCCGCCTGACACAATATCGTAAGGTTTCGTTGAATTGCACTAGATGTGATCGTTATACAGTCTGCGTCTGATATATTTCGCGCAAGCATATCGACATCGATGTGAAAAACATACGTAAGTACATCTCTTCGACACATCCCTACAAAATGGGCCAAGTCGAGAAAGGATAGTAAAAAATATCGTTTTCCCTTTTACGGAATTTTCTGTAAATTTTTATGAAATTTTTACAGAATATTAGT